TCCCCATGAGGTTTAAGAAAAGTTTGGTCCCCATGAGGTTCAAGTAAAGCTCGCTCCCCATGAGGTTTAAGAAAAGTTTGGTCCCCATGAGGTTCAAGTAAAGCCCGGTCCCCATGAGGTTTAAGTAAAGTTTGGTCCCCATGAGGTTCAAGTAAAGCCCGGTCCCCATGAGGTTTAAGAAAAGTTTGGTCCCCATAAGGTTCAAGTGTCGTTGGTGGGTTATGAATTATGTTTAGGACTAATGTGTGAATTGAGGATGAGTTAGGTTAAGGGTCAAGGTTAGGCTATAGAAATTAACAAAAAATTATTGGAAGTCAATGCAAAGGCCTCATAAAGATAGCGAGACAACCCTGAGTTTGTATGTGTGTGAGTGTTTTAAAGTCAGTTTGTCCATGTGACGGTAAAAAAAACAATAAGCCTCTTAGGTCTAATCCTGCTTCGTTGGGAAAGGAGTGCCCCACACATGACTTAACACCCCCCCACACACACACACACACACACACCACCACCACCACCACCACCACACACACACACACACACACCACCACCACCACACACACACAGGCAGTGCTGACACAACTGAATCCAATCATCAACAAATATTTGGAGGAAATAATAAAAAGTATGAATGTTTCAGAAACATTTATTGCTGCTGGTGATAGTCAATGTGTGTGTTAAATGTTTCTGATTTTTATTAATTTATCAAATATTTTATACTAAGATGTTATATTTGCCTCAAAGCAAGAAGATTGAAGGTTTAAAGCCCGTCTTGGGTCTTTCTGGGTGGAGTTTGCATGTTCTCTCCGTGCATGCGTGGGCTTTCTCTGGGTACTCCGGTTTCCTCCCACAGACCAAAAACATGCACGTTAGGCTGATTGGTAACTCTAAATTGTCTCTAGGTGTGAGTGAGAGAGTGAATGATTGTTTGTCTCATTTGTCTCTATGTGTCCCTGGAGACCTGTCCAGGGTGTCCCTCACCTCTCACACTGTGACTGCTGGAGATAGTGCCCACTGCTCCATGACCAGAAAAGGAGAAGTGTGGAAAGAAAACTGATCGATATAGTAAAAATTATTCTTTAAATGTATTTGTCATTCATCTTGTTGGGGGATTTCTGCACCTTAATGTACTTTTGGTACTTAGGGCAGATTTTGCTTTTTTAATCGGTGTGTAATATTTTTTTGGACAGCAGGAGTTAGTCCTACATCAGAAAGTAGAAGATTTTTTTTATTTTGTTTGCTCATCATTGCATGTTGTCAAAGGGCAAAAGGTGGGCGATCATGTTTTTTCCAACACCTTAGTCAACCCCATTTGAGATGGCCAACATCTTAAAAAAAACACAATAAATGGATGTAACTCAGCCATTTTCACAGACATCCAGCTGCATTTTGGTGTGATGGTAGCTGAGAGTCATCCACAACACGTGCTATGAGCATTGAGTGATTGTGTAATTTTTTTGTATTATTGGTCCTGAAAATGTCTAGTGTGTGCAGTCAAAGTACTTCTTTTTGTCCTCCCTTGAAGTTTATTGTGCGGCACTGTGAGGTTTTGATGGTGAGCGTCTGAAAAAAGTCAGAGGAATAAATTTTTGTAATGATAAAAAGGTTTTTATAATTATAAATAAAACTTGACTAGTCCTTCCTGCATCAGCAGAGATGGCTTCTTCTTTTTTTTTTTTCAGGGCGAGATGCGGGTTTGCTTTGATTCCAGTAAATTAATTCAAAATATATGATGGTGCAAATGATCTGTTTGTTTTTCTTTTTTCAGATTACCTTTGTTCACCAGAAGAGAATGTTCACACGATCGACTTCACCCGGTTTAAAATCCGTGACATGGAGACGGGGACAGTCCTTTTTGAGATCACCAAACCTCCAACACCAGGTCAGCCCCAAAGCTCACAAACAACCTTTTGACTTTTAAGGATGTAAATAATTAGTGTAGAAAACAGACACAAATACTGTATTGAGTGTTTCTCAGGTGTTTAGATACTTAAAAACAATACTGCTCATACAGTGTTACTCCCTGGAAATAAATGTATTAATCACTTTATTTATGTTCGACTTGTCTTTAGGAGGTTTAAAGCAGTGTGACCCCAACGCAGGGCGTTTCGTCCGATACCAGTTCACCCCGGCCTTCCTGCAGCTGCGGCAGGTCGGAGCCACGTAAGTCGACAGCAGGCGTGTGTTTCTCTCACCTAAAGGAATCAGGAGCGTGCGATGAACTCCACCGTGGTGTCAGGCGTCTGTGTGAACACAGACACACAACCCAACGAATGAGTCACACCAGAAACTCGTCAGAGCTTCTGTTCACCTTCACACTCCTACTCTGTGACAAACTGAGGGTCTGAGCACAACCAGGCAACACAGAGATACTCTAAAGATTTGTTTGTACCAAATACAACCACTCATTCAGCATGAGGTGATGTAATGAATTTATTTATTAGAGAAAGTAAAACTGTAGTGAGACAGTAATCACTGGATCTACGTCTACAGCTGATTTATTTTGGAGTAAACCCGATTCAAGATGGCTGTCACAGCCAACCAACTTAGGAAACACAAAATAGCTATAACACATTATAATATTAACAATTTATTTGTTTAACAAACAGTGGCTTCAGTAGCATGTGGACGAACCATACACAGCCACAGCAGCCTGGCATCTCCTCCTATTGTTTGACATACCAAGAAGTGTAGTTACTAAAAATAAAATAGCCACCAAATACAAATTTCCTTACTTGTTTTCTACATTTTTGTTACATTTATAGTTTAAGTAAGAATTGCATAACAATTTTACTCCAAAGGATTTTTTTAATGTATAGAAGGACACAGAATTCAAGCCTCTGTCTTTGAGGATGTGTCATTTGTTTTTATCTTTTCGTGTACATCCGCAGTTTTTTTTTAAATAAATAGTCTTTTTGAAAAGTGAGAAAACAAATATTAGCCAAAAACCAGGCAACACGTTTGATATAAGTCATTTTACACTATGTAAACTTTAATTCTGATAAATGGTTTTAATTGTAAAATGAAAAAAAAAGTAAAGTTTTGTCATAAATTAGATTAATGCAATCGAGGAGGTATTTTTTTCTTCAAACACTTGCTCATATGTTTTTATTGAGACATAGATTTAAAACAAATACTAAAGCCATGCAGAATTCTCACCATGTACGTCTACAACTGATTGACTTTTGGAGTCAAGATGGCCGCTGTGGTCGTTCCCATTCTTCAGCAGGTATTTTGTTCGTGTTACAACCAAAATGATAGGGCGGAGGTGGCTGGGTGGTTAGAGCAGTCGTCCTCCAATGCAAGAGTTGGGGGTTCGATTCCACCAGCAGTCACATGCTGAAGTGTTCCTGGGCAAGACACTGAACCACTCATTGCCTCCAATGTGTGTCCCATTGGTGTGTGAATGTGATAAAGCTCTGATTATTATTTTAAAAGATATAGTAGAGTGCTGTATGAATGGGTAAATGTGGGCACAGATAAGGCGCTATATAAGTACAGTCCATTTACCAAAACTATGACGCGGTCAACACTTCTATTTGTGTGAAGCGTTTTGCTTTCTGCTCGTGCCGTTGCAGAGTGGAGTTCACAGTAGGAGACGCCCCCATCAACAACTTCCGCATGATTGAGAGACACTACTTCCGCGACCGGCTGCTGAAGAGCTTCGATTTCGAGTTTGGCTTCTGCATGCCCAGCAGCAAGAACACGTGCGAGCACATTTATGAGTTCCCTACGCTGTCCGAGGAAATCAGTGAGTTTCTCACGCCCAAATGAACACTTCTACACATTGGTAACCCACACAAGGAGGATTAAACGTTATGTTCTTGTTTTGCAGTGCGTGAGATGATCCAGCATCCTTATGAGACGCAATCTGACAGCTTCTACTTTGTGGACAACAAGCTGGTGATGCACAACAAAGCAGATTATTCCTACTGTGGGGGGCCGTAGGAAGACCTCTGAGGACATTTTCATAGCACCAAAAACATGAACTGATGAACTAATCACTGGCAATAACTCTCCTCTCACTCCTCTCACATCCACACATTTTCATTCAGGCACTCTGCTGCCTGGCCAATCAGATTCGTCCATTTGCTTCGTTATTTTTTCTCTTCTTTGCAGGAACAGTAAATTCTGCCAGTTTCATCATCAGTTTGATCACGGGGGAGCATGTGTGGGACGCAAACACATGCAGCGTCTGTACATAATGTTGAGTACCACTTGATCATCAGGGGAGAGTTGTTCGTTTTATTAGTTTAACATGAAGAAAAGCAGGAGTTGCAAGGTTTAAGCACACTGTGGAAAACTTAATGTTTTTTTTTTTTTAAATATGCAGATCTAACTTAGCACAACAAGAAAGAGAATTTGCATTTGTTTAGTTATTTCTTTGATGCAACTACATTTCTTGAAAATAAATCTTATACTGTTGGAAAGCCTATTTCCCACTAAATGTTGCCACGTTGGTAAGGACAATACATTTGTGGGTTGAGCAGCAACGTTGAGATTGTTGGTTGCACCCAAGAAAAACTTGCCGAATCTTCTCTGAGACAGCATATTCTGCTTTCCACTCTTGCTTAGTGTTTACTGGATTGGAGGCTTGATGTTTGAAGAAGCAAGACATGTTGGCAATTTTAACTATTTATTTGTTTAACAAACAGGAGCTTTAGTAGCATGTGGAAGAGCCATATACAGCTACAACAGCCTGGTATGTCCTCCTCAAGTATAAGATCTATTAATGAGAAGTTGCAAAATATTTATTGAAAAAAATTGCTACAAAAGCAATTATCAACCAAACACTAATTTTCTTACCATTTATGCTTTTTAAATGACATTTATAGTTTAGATAGAAATTGCATAACATTTTTACTCCAAAAATGTCTAAAATGTGTAGAAGCACACCTATCTGAAGAATTCAGCTGAATGTGCACTCTGTCATTGTGAATGTGTCATTTGTTTTGATCTTTTCATGTACGTCTGGAGTATTTTTTAATAAATAGCCTTTTTGAAGCGTCAGAAAAGTCACATTGGTTAAAAATCTGGCAACTGTTTTGATAACAGACACTTTACACTGTGTAAACTTTAATTCTGATAAACGTTTGACCAACAATGAAAACAAGGATGTATTTTGTCATAACTTGCATCAATGCAATAAAAATGTGATTTTTTTTTCAAAACCCTCAATATATGCTTTATTACATTAAGATTTGAAAACTGTTTAAAAAACATGAATGGTGAACACTTAGTTTAGGTCAGGTGTCTACAACTGCTGCTTTGGGGCCACATGTGGCTCTTTGAAACTTTGACCAAAACATAGATGAAATTTAATCTTGTATTAACAAAAAAGGTTGAATCATGTCATCTGGACTTCGTTTTTTTGCTAAAAAGAAACATTTCGCCCCTCATCCAAGAGGCTTCGTCAGTCTGAGGCCTAGCCATCTGGTATTACCCAGAAGCCACCCTGACTCTTGTGTTTCAAGCCTGCCTCAGAT